GTAGCCCTTCACCCAAGCATGCTACTGGCCAAATATCATCTCCTTGGGCAGTTTGGTTATTGAGAAGAAGATGTTTAAAGTTTTTAACATATTTGACCCCTGTGACCTTGAAAATGGGTGAAGGTCATTAATTTTAACAAACTTTGTAGCCCTTCATCCCAGTTTGCTTCTGGCCAAATATCATCACCCTAGGCCTTTTGGTTATTAAGAAGAAGTTGTTTAAAGTAAAATATTGACGCCGGACGACGGACGGACGGACGACGGACGCCGCGCCACGGCATAAGCTCACTTGGCACTTCGTGCCAGGTGAGCTAAATATGGTGTTGTAAACATGAACCACATCAGGAAAGTTTCGGCAAACAGTATTTGTAAAATGGATCGTCATGAATGAACATTCTCAAACAGTCAATTAGTGAAATTAGCGAATGGGTAAAATAGTGTTAAATAGAGACAATGGAAATTAAATATAAAGAAAAGAGAAAGGTACAGTCACTTATTCTTTGAAAGCTACATAAATCATATCCCACACTAGACTTCATAGAGCCTGTATAGTATCTCATTAGGCAACTTACATAGCCTATATCCTACGGTAGGGGGCCATGGTGGCCGAGTGGCTAAGGCGACTGATCGTCTATGATCACTAGCCCTCCACCACTGGGTCACAGGTTTGAGGTCTACCTGGGGCAGTCACCAGGTACTGGCTGCAGGTTGGTGCTTTTTCTCTGGGTTCTCTGGTTTTCCTCCACCATCAAAACATGGCTCATACTTAAATGACAAACACAAACAAACAAAGCTAAATGTCCTGCAATTGACTTCGTACATTATAGTTATGATACAGGGGCAAAACAAGCAAGACCTTGACAGTTCCTTTAAATGTGACAAAGTTTGTATACTTGTGAATCAATTGTTTGCGAAAATCATTGATTCTGTGTTATCAAGTAAGATCTATTGCAGTTATCAGGATCTACAGTTTTTGTAGTGATCTTTAAAAATATTGATAAGGTTATACCTTTTATATTTTGCAGAAAGCCACGATTAAATTCTCAATTGGTAGCGCAGCAAGTTGCCCAGCAGTATGTGCCCCCACCTCCAAAAAAAGAGAAGCTTGAAAATGGAACGCTTGTAGATGGGGATGATGAGGAAGAAGGAGAGGAACCTGAAGAGGAGGAGGAAGAGGAAGAGGAGGAGGAAGAGGAAAGGGAGGAGGAAGAGGCAGTAGACAGTGATAGTACCCAGGAGGACTATCGCCTAGAGTTACCTCCCCCTCCTATAGAAACCACAACTCTCAGTACAATTAATATCAAAAAGGAGAAGAACCATACAAATACAGCAAAAAAGATCTCAAATCAACAAAGGTAAACCTACACCTGTATATTAGGTATCTAGGGTGTACCGGTAGATAGTCTAACATGTTCCCCTGTATATTAGGTATCTAGGGTGTACAGGTAGATAGTCTAACATGTTCACCTGTATATTAGGTATCTAGGGCGACAGGTAGAAAGTCTTAACATGTACACCTGTATATTAGATATCTAGGGTGTACAGGTAGATATTCTAACATGTACACCTGTATATTAGGTATCTAGGGTGTACAGGTAGATGTCTAACATGTACACCTGTATATAAGGTATCTAAGGTGTACACGTAAATAGTCTATCATGTACACCTGTATATTAGGTATCTAGGGAGTACAGGTAGATATTCTAACATGTACACCTGTTTATTAGGTATCTAGGGTGTACAGGTAGTTGTCTAACATGTATACCTGTATATTAGATATCTAGGGTGTACAGTTTTATATTCTAACATGTACACCTGTATATTAGGGATCTAGGGTGTACAGGTAGATAGTCCAACATGTACACCTGTATATTAGGTATCTAGGGTGTACAGGTAGATGTCGAACATGTACACTTGTATATTAGGTATCTAGGGTGTACAGGTAGATGTCTAACATGTTCACCTGTATATTAGGTATCTTGGGTGTACAGGTAGATGTCTAACATGTACAACTGTATATAAGGTATCTAGGGTGTACAGGTAGATGTCTAACATGTACACCTGTATATTAGGTATCTAGGGTGTACAGGTAGATAGTCCTAGATGTACATCTGTAAGTTATATAGTAGCATGTTAGGGATGTACAAGGAGGAAAATAATTAAAGGTGAAAGCAAATTACTTGCAAATAATTCATACTTATGCCACATTTCCTTTAATTGCTCAAAAATATAGCCTTTGAAATGTTTATATCATAGAAAATGTTTTGTAAAAAACAACCAACAAAAAAAATAACAAATAGGGGATTTTTCCTTTTTTTCGTTGACTGTTCTGTATAATTAGGTATAATTAATCTTAATATCTAGTGAAATAGACAGATAGGTGAAATCCTCAAAACACCGCTAATCTCATCAAGCTTTGTAACTGTGACAAAAGCCCCAAACAACACTAATCTCATCTAGCTTTGTATCTGACAATAGCCCCAAACCCCGCTAATCTCATCAAGCTTTGTAACTGACAAAAGCCCCAAACCCCACTAATCTCATCTAGCTTTGTAACTGACAATAGCCCCAAACCCCGCTTATCTCATCAAGCTTTGTAACTGTGACAATAGCCCCAAACCCCGCTAATCTCATCTAGCTTTGTAACTATGACAATAGCCCGAAACTCCACTAATCTCATCAAGCTTTGTAACTGACAATAGCCCCAAACCCCACTAATCTCATCAAGCTTTGTAACTGTGACAATAGCCCCAAACTCCACTAATCTCATTAAGCTTTGTAACTGACAAAAGCCCCAAACCCCTCTAATCTCATCTAGCTTTGTAACTGTGATAATAGCCCCAAACCCCGCTAATCTCATCAAGCTTTGTAACTATGACAATAGCCCCAAACCCCGCTAATCTCATCTAGCTTTGTAACTGTAACAATAGCCCCAAACTCCGCTTATCTCATCTAGCTTTGTAACTGTGACAATAGCCCCAAACTCTGCTTATCTCATCTAGCTTTGTAACTGTGACAATAGCCCGAAACTCCACTAATCTCATTAAGCTTTGTAACTGACAAAAGCCCCAAACCCCTCTAATCCCATCTAGCTTTGTAACTGTGATAATAGCCCCAAGCCCCGCTCATCTCATCAAGCTTTGTAACTGTGACAATAGCCCCAAACCCCACTAATCTCATCTAGCTTTGTAACTGACAATAGCCTCAAACCCCGCTAATCTCATCAAGCTTTGTAACTATGACAATAGCCCCAAACCCCGCTAATCTCATCAAGCTTTGTAACTATGACAATAGCCCCAAACCCCGCTAATCTCATCTAGCTTTGTAACTGTAACAATAGCCCCAAACTCCGCTTATCTCATCTAGCTTTGTAACTGTGACAATAGCCACAAACTCCACGAATCTCATTAAGCTTTGTAACTGACAAAAGCCCCAAACCCCCCTAAACTCACCTAGCTTTGTAACTGTGATAATAGCCCCAAACCCCGCTAATCTCATCAAGCTTTGGAACTGAGACAATAGCCCCAAACTCTGCTTATCTCATCTAGCTTTGTAACTGTGACAATAGCCGCAAACCCCGCTAATCTCATCAAGCTTTGTAACTGACAAAAGCTCCAAACCCCTCTAATCTCATCTAGCTTTGTAACTGTGATAATAGCCCCAAACCCCGCTAATCTCATCAAGCTTTGTAACTATGACAATAGCCCCAAACCCCGCTAATCTCATCAAGCTTTGTAACTATGACAATAGCCCCAAACCCTGCTAATCTCATCAAGCTTTGTAACTGTGACAATAGCCTCAAACCCCACTAATCTCATCAAGCTTTGTAACTGTGATAATAGCCCCTAACCCCGCTAATCTCATCAAGCTTTGTAACTGTGACAATAGCCAATTTGCCTGCCTGTATGCCAGTATATGACAGAATTGGATACCAGTAACACAGGTCCACACTTTATAGTCAACAGGGGAGTAGGACCAGGCCTTATACGCTAAAGGGTGGAGAAAGTCCAGGTGCAAAGAAAGTCATTGAAAAGATACTCTTGGTAAATGAGTCATTTACACCAACTCTGGTACTTATGCTTACCCTAATGCAGTTAATGATGTCAACAGTTTGTAAGAATATCAGAGGAAAAGAAACCTTCTAAAAATTGTTTGTTCAGGGCTCACCTGGATGCAAAGACTAATGAGCTAATGACGTGATGGTGCTGTTAGATTCATATATAAAGCTTATTTTTCTGTGGCAGTAATTGTCCTGTTCATAGATATCAGTGCCAATACTTGTCCGGTTCACAGATATTTATACCAGAGAGTAGTTGTCCGGTTCACAAATATCTATGCCAGTTGTTGTCCTGTTCACAGATAGTTATGCCAGTAATTGGTCGGTTCACAGATATCTGTGCCAGTAATTGTCAGGTTCACATATGTATATGCCAGAAGTTGTCAGGTTCATAGTTATCTGTGCCAGAAGTTGTCAGGTTCACATATATTTATGCCAGTTGTTGTCCTGTTCACAGATAGTTATGCCAGTAATTGGTCAGTTCACAGATATCTGTGCCAGTATTTGTCAGGTTCACATATGTATATGCCAGAAGTTGTCAGGTTCATAGATATCTGTGCCAGAAGTTGTCAGGTTCACAGATATCTATGCCAGTTGTTGTCCTGTTCACAGATAGTTATGCCAGTAATTGGTCGGTTCACAGATATCTGTGCCAGTATTTGTCCGGTTCACATATGTATATGCCAGAAGTTGTCAGGTTCATAGATATCTATGCCAGTAGTTGTCAAGTTCACAGATAGTTATGCCAGTAATTGGTCGGTTCACAGATATCTGTGCCAGTAATTGTCCGGTTCACATATGTATATGCCAGAAGTTGTCAGGTTCACAGATATCTTTGTCAGTAGTTGTCTGGTTCATATATATCTATGCCAGTAGTTGTCTGGTTCACATATATTTATGCCAGTTGTTGTCCTGTTCACAGATAGTTATGCCAGTAGTTGTCCAGTTCACAAATATCTGTGCCAGTAGTTGTCAGGTTCACAGATATCTGTGCAAGTCGTTGTCATGTGCAAGTCGTTGTCATGTTCACAAATATCTATGCCAGTATTTGTCAGGTTCACAGATAGTTATGCCAGTAATTGGTCGGTTCACATATATCTGTGCCAGTAATTGTCCGGTTCACATATGTATATGCCAGAAGTTGTCAGGTTCACAGATATCTTTGTCAGTAGTTGTCTGGTTCATATATATCTATGCCAGTAGTTGTCTGGTTCACATATATCTATGCCAGTAGTTGTCTGATTCACAGATAGTTATGCCAGTAGTTGTCCAGTTCACAAATATCTGTGCCAGTAGTTGTCAGGTTCACAGATATCTGTGCAAGTCGTTGTCATGTGCAAGTCGTTGTCATGTTCACAAATATCTATGCCAGTATTTGTCAGGTTCACAGATATCTGTGCCAGTAGTTGTCAAGTTCACAGATATATATTCCAGTAGTTGTCAGGTTTACAGATATCTATGCCAGAAGTTGTCAGGTTCACAGATATATGTGCCAGTAGCTGTCAGGTTCACAGATATCTGTGCTAGTAGCTATATATATATAGTTGTCAGGTTCACACATATCTGTGCAAGTAGTTGTCCAGTTGTCAGATATCTGTGCCAGTAGTTGTCAGGTTCACAGGTAGCTATGCCAGTAGTTGTCAGGTTCTCAGATATCTGTGCAAGTAGTTGTCCAGTTCACAGATATCTGTGCCAGTAGTTGTCAGGTTCACAGGTAGCTATGCCAGTAATTGTCCGATTCACAGATAGCTATGCCAGTAGTTATCCAGCTCACAGATATCTGTGCCAGTAGTTGTCAGGTTCTCAGATATCTGTGCAAGTTGTTGTCCAGTTCACAGATAGTTGTGCAAATAGTTGTCTGGTTCACAGATACTTATGCTGGCAGTTGTCGGGTTCACAGATATTTATGCAAATAGATGTCCGGTTCACAGAAAGTTATGCCAGGAGTTGTCAGGTTCACTAAATATCTGTGCCAGTAGTTGTCCAGTTCACAGAAAGTTATGCCAGTAGTTGTCCAGTTCACAGATAGTTATGCAAATAGATGTCCGCTTCACTGAAAGTTAAGCCACTAGTTGTCCAGTTCACAGATAGTTTTGCAAATAGATGTCCGGTTCACAGAAAGTTATGCCAGGAGTTGTCAGGTTCACTAATATCTATGCCAGTAGTTGTCCGGTTCACAGAAAGTTATGCCAGTAGTTGTCCAGTTCACAGATAGTTTTGCCAGTAGTTGTCCGGTTCAGAGATAGTTATGCCAGTAATTGTCCGGTTTACAGATATCAGTGCCAGTAGTTGTCAGGT